TTGGGGGGCAGATATGGCACCCCAGCCCCCAATGTCCCTGTCTGGGTGATCAGACCTTGTCAGACACGCCACATTGAGAACTAGGGTGCCTTATTTGGCAGGAATGCCCATCTCACCAGGAATTGGACTCTCTGAGGGCTGAGGTGGAGAAGCTCAAGGTCTTACTTAAAGCTCCAGACCCCATTTCTGTTCCCAAAATGGCATCCTCCCAAAATTGTCTTCCTGACAACTGTAGGAAGAGCTTACGGAGGCTACCAATGGTCCCAGGCATGCCAATTGGACTGGACTCAGAGAGGGCATTGGAGCACCGTCTGCAATTCAGCCAAGCCCCAGAAGCTTGGGGTGGTCACAGTGAGGCTATGGGACCCCCTGCTTGACAACAAAGGAGACATGATGTATGGGAACCGTATGTCAGTTTTGAATTGTTGCTTCTACACAAGTAGGGCAGCAAAGCTGGGTTTGTCACTCAAGCTTGGAGCCCCCAGGGTGGAGCAGGCTCCACCTCGTGGGACTCTAGCGGGCCGGAGAGGAGCCGGCACCCATTCAGGGGCCAGAGCAGGAGGGAGAATGCAGTCTTAGGGCTACATGTTGATGGCGGTGAGGTTTTTATAACAGCGCTTGACTTATTGGGAGACCCACTGCAGTTATGCAGAGTTAAAAATTATGGTCCAAGGGTACAGGGTAAGGGTGACTTTGTTTGCAGTTCTTGCACCGGCTACAATCCTACCAAAAGAAATGCAAGCTCTCTGGGCAATAGGGGCAGTTCCAACATTTCTGCAGGGTGAATGTCTCTACTCCACCTACTTTTTAAAATCACAAATAAGGATGGGTCCCTTCTGCAAGTGCTGGACCTAAGGGCGCAAAACCACCTTTTAGAAGGTTTTGTCTTTTTGCATGCTCCGCACAGGCAACATCCTTCATGTGATCTAAAGTTGGTATGGTATGGTATGGTATGGTATGGTATGGTATGGTATGGTATGGTATGGTATGGTATGGTATGGTATGGTATGATCTGTGCAGAGGAGTGGTTTACATAGAAGTAGACTTGAAAGATACATGCTTTGATATTCCAATCCACCCAGGATTCTTGAACCCTCTGTGCCGGTCAGAGTTAAAGATTTTGCCATTTCTAAAAGACTGGCTCATCTGTGCCCCCTCCTCCTGTGCGGCAGATCGAGTGACACAGAGGATCCTGACCCATGTGGAGGCTCTGGGAATAGCAGTGAACAAACAGAGGGGTTCCCTTATCCCAGCCTAGCAGGTCTTTATCAGCATGGACTTAAGTGTCCATGCTGATAAAGGTCAGTCCTTGGCCCCCACACAGCTGACCCCCATCCTCAAAGTCATCCCCATCAAAACTCACCACCTGTCTGGAGGAGATAAAGGTACAGATAGAGCAAAACTTTCTTCAACTCAATAGCTCCAAAACTGAAGCCATCCTGGTTGGAACTCCTCATTAAACCAATTCATCATCCATAACCAGCATCACTTTTTCTGGTACTAACATCCCGCTCTCATCAACAGGTACTAAACTTGGTGTAAGATTGGACTCACTTTTGAAGCCCACATAAATCGTTTATGCGAGACCTCTTTCTACCACCTCCATAACATTTCCAAACTCCGTTCCATTCTCTCCCTCCCAGATGCCCGAAAAGCGGGTTCATGTCTTTGTCTCCTCCAGACTGGACTATTGCTACTCATTGGGATCCCTAAAAGAGTCTTCAGAGGCTTCAGTACATCCAGAACTCTGCAGCTAGGATCCTGATGAGAGTACAGAAACATGAGCACATTACCCCCATTCTCCATTCACTACACGGGCTTCCTATCTCCACCAGGCTTGAAAACAAGGTTTCCCTCCTCACACATCAATGCATCCATGGACATGTGACCCCACCACCACCATCACCACCACCTTAAAGAACTTATCAACCCACAGAACACAACCCGCTCTCTTCGCTCCACCCACTCAAACCTGCTCCACATTCCCAGAACCAGACTCAGGACAATGGGAAATAGAGCATTTTGTGCTGCTGCCCCACATCTGTGGAATGCCCCCGCCTGACACCTTGAGGGCACCTCAATCCACCGAGTGTTTTAAAAAAGGCCTTAAAACATTTCTTTTTAGCAAAACTTTTGGTCCCCTTTTTAATGCTTTTCTTTTATGTAGTACTTTGAGGTCTGAGGTTTTGATGAAAAGTGCAGTATAAATTAAATGTATTATTATTGTTTATTATGAATCCAGTTTGGCAAACAAACTGTGGCCACTCCGGGCATTGCACCTGTTCATCATGGCTATGGATGCTATTTGCTGGTCAGAGCAGCTATTCGTGTGCCATAGTGGGCAGAACAGGGGGCAGGCCCTTTAAAAGCACAGGCTGTCGTATTAGTTTGTGGATGCCATCCCGCCGGTTTATGAATCTGTGGGGGCACCTGCCCCCTCCGGTGTTATAAGCTATTCTACCAGGAGAGTGTCTACAGTACAGCCTGGGCGGCAATGTGGGGCGCGGGGGGATATCTGTGCAGCGGCATTGTGGGCGATACCGTGTATGTTTGAAAGATTATGCTGCATCAGCGTAGGACATGAGTCCACACTGGCTTTGGGGATCCTGCCTCTGGCTTCGTCTAACTCCTAGGAGGTGGGTGAGAACCTTGTTCATCATGATGTTATTGGCATTAGTCATCCACTATGGTTCTGTGAATTCCTGGATGACTGGCAGTCACACTGGTCACTCAGGACTTCTCCCAGCAAGAAGATCCCAGAGACTGAAATGTAGCCTTCTACATACTATTTATAGATGCACGCCAAGGTGAGCTACGTGTCATGTGCATGACGTTGTTTACATTTAATCTCGACCTGCACAGAGTGCCAGGAGACATATTCGCTGTTTTTACTGTCTCTGGCAGTCATTCAGGAGTTCACAGAAACAAAGTTACATTTCCAAATGAATGCCCAATCATTTGTGTTCTTGGGCATTGGTAGTTTTTCTTCTTACTTTATGATATCTGCATTTTTGATTATCTAATGTGACATAGTGAAAATCATGCCAACAGAAATTGTTGTCTACTGATTTGTAGACAACAAAGATTTAACTAATTTCTGTCTTTGATCTTTGCTTTTGTCAGCTGAAAACCTGCTGTTTCTGAGGACCTACACACATATAGTACTGTCATCAGCATGCATTGCAATATTAAATGGTAAATGGCCTGTACTCAATGAGTCAATGCAATCAGGTGGTTTTCCTTAGATAGAAAACTTTGTATCAATTTGACTGGATGATCTGGTTGAACTGTAAAGTGCCTTGAGATGACATGTGTTGTGAATTTGGCGCTATATAAATAAACTGAATTGAATTGAAATTGAATTATTCATATAGCACTTTACATTCACCCATTCACTCACGCACTGATGGGGGTAAGCTACTTGTAGCTGGGGCTCACTGACAGAAGCGGGGCTGCTGTACACTGGCACCATCAGTCCCTCCGACCACCATCAGTAGTTGGGTGAACTGACAACCACCCGGTTGAAGGGCAAACTCCTACATCATACGCTACTGTCACCATGAAGAGCTGGACATGCTGAAGGAAGGTCATTAACATACCTCCAAAACAGGACTTTGGTTAACGTGGATCTGTGGCAGACCAATGGACAGAGGGAGAGGCGCCTACTGGTTTTAGAAATGTAGATAGGTTGTAAAAGATTTGGGTGCTTCAATGTTGTTTACATTATTTGAAAGATTAAGAGATGACTTAGCCAGTGGGATTTGGTGATTTGCTGCATCAATAGCCTTGTTAAGGTCATGAAAGACTGTGCACCTGAAATATTATTGTCAAGATAAATAGAAAGTGGTTGACTGAGAATTACCAGAGCAAGGTTAGATAAAGGATGCTGAATAATTCCAGTGTTTCTTTTAACTTAAATCTTCAACCTATACGCTTCTTATGTTGGAGAGAAGGAAATTAAAAGGTCAGATCTATGCTTCGAAAGAATGAGGCCATAATGAGGTAAAGAAGTGGGAAGTTATCTGAATTAACTTACTTTACTGCAAATCTGATCTGAAGCTAAATTCAGATAGCAAACCCCCCACCCAGCCTTTCAGGTTCAAATTTGGCTCAAACAGGTGGGAGCAAAGACAATAATATCTGGGATGCCATAGACCTTTCTCAATTAGAACAGTCTTCAGCAAACTCTTGGATGGAAATTTTATCAGAAAGTGTGAAGGCTCTGGTTATCACTCATGCTTGTAAACGTATGTTTCTATAGACTGACTCTTTTTGAGCTGTAGCCCTTCGTTGTAGGGAAGTCATATTTAAATGTCAAATCATTCTGGCTTAAACATGTATATAAATAGAATCTTTATCAGACCATATTGTCCCAAAATGTAGAAAATGTATATTTAAAAAGAAATCCTGCCTTAAAATCTGTGTTTTTTTTCTCCATTATCTCATAGAGGCCACTTCCTTGACAGCGTCGTTTCTAAGTCACCAATTTAGTGCTACTTGGTCCCAATGGAATTTCCCATTGGGAACCTGCTAGCATTAAGTTGCTAACTGGTTAGCAAGATGCTTCCCACAAACCGGCTACAACCAAACTGCTAGCGAACCTTCCGCCACAACTATCCCGCCCCCTTGATAATCGACCAATCACATTCACTTTATTCACTTGTGTAAAGTCGGGCACCATTTGGGAGAATTCGGAAATGCAACGTTTGGAACAGCCGCTTCCCTACGAGTTTAAGGGTGTCACAGTTATTCTGTTGGCTAAGCCTTTGTTCAGCAGTGTTCCTCATTATTCTGTTGGCTGTACTGACAGTAATTTATTACATAACATAATTTTATCCTCATTTCATGTATGACTGCATGGAAGAACATCATCAAGGTGATCAGGTGGGGAAATAATGGTGGTCTGTGCAGAGCAGTCTGCTCCTTCTAGTCTCCTCCTTGACCTCTATAACAAACAGATTTTGTTCAAAAAGTAAAATGTTTGTTTTTCCTGTGTTTAGATGTATTTGGTGAGTGTTACCAAAGCAGCGAGAGTCGCACCTTCACACTCCTTATAAGGAAGTCTCCTGTGTGGGGCGGGGCAACATGCCTACAGATGGCTACTGCAGCAGATGCCCGCCTTTTCTTCAGCCATGATGGTGTTCAGGTAAAACCATACGCACTGCTAAGAATCTGGGTTCTACCATATTTTCCAGGTTATGGAAAATCGTTCTCTCTGTGGTTCTCTAGATTTCCAAAGGCTAGATTGAAGTTAGAGCACCAGGATGTGGACAGGATGGAGGAATCAGTTCCTTCTTCATCACTAACACTGTTTAGAAATCTCTCTCTGAGAAATGCAAATGATGACATTAAATGGAAGATGTCCCTGAGGTGTTTTCTCTTCTATTCCAACATTTTTTTTCACATACATTGCATTATTTGTAGTTTTCTTTCATCCTTATAGAGATCCAGTGTTTAACATCTTAACCTATGATAATCAACCTTTGGGCCGACATACACTGTACAGTATTTTCATTAGTTTTTAGCTACAGCTCAAACTGTTTCCAAACTGCAGGGTTTAAGAGTTCACAGCTCAGGATATTTGTTATTCCGCTTCACGGCCTGATGCTCTGATGTGATCTGACTGCTCACACCGCACATCCAAATACCACACACTGGACAGCTCCATCCGGTGGTAAAGAAAAGCTCTGCTTCAACAGCAGGATAGGATCATGATCTCCTTACGAGGGCCGACTGATAGTATGTTCAGATTTGGCAGCTATTTCCTACTAGTACTGGATCTTTCTAAGGCCATGAAAACAAGGAGCCTGGAAGAGTTCAAATTCAAACAGGTCAATCCTTCCCTGACTGTCAGCACCCCTCACTCAGTGGATGCACTGTCGCCCAGCAACCATGGCAGTTGGTCCACAAAGAATAGAAATCAAACTTCTACTGTTCTGGGTGCTAATAGCTTGATCTTTAATAACCTCAGAAACTAGGACCCAATATTCAGACAGACAGACCAGGACGATTTTAAACAGACTTTATTTTGAACAAAAGGGCATCAGCGGGGAGGATAATCGGATCCTTTGCAGGGATGGAAAACACAAATCAATGACTGATAGGTCAGGCTGATCGCAACTAGGAGCTCCAGTAACTGACCTGGTTCAAAGTCCAGTCCTATCCCAGAGAGAGGGAGGAATCCAGGAGGGTGATTGTCCACCGTTTGCACCCATAGCGCTTTCCAGAACCTTCATGTGATGATGAGCTGAGCGTCTGAGGGAGCAACAGTGTCTGTGAGGGAAATTCAAGACAAGGTCAGTGAAACAGTCCAGGTTCGGAAACCAGCATGATCCGGGAAAAGCAGCACAAAAATCACAGCAGTCAAAGAAAGGCAAAGCATAAACTAGAACATCCAAAACGGGAAATGGGTCAAAATCAGAATTGTTTTGACCAAGCATTCATATTTGACGTGTTGGGAATGATAACGTCTATTTTACATGAACTCTGGAGATGGTTTGCAGCCACAGGGCTTAATACTTATCCTTTTTGCCCCAATAGTCTTTACAGTCAAACATATGTATATTGTCCATTTCTCTTTCTTCTTCAAATGGTGTGATTGCAATAGTTTCTGATATCTGACATTAGAACTCCTTTGCTGCGGGTCCAAAGTTTTCTTTGCTGTCCCTATTTTGGATTTAAGGTCAGCTGTAAACCAGGAATATTTTTTCAAAAATAGGCAGTGACTGTCATCAGTGTCTTCTGCTTCATTTCCTTCTGTATCTGAATCTGTAGAGATTCCAGGGTTGGCATCTGTCCCAGTAAACATCTGCTCCTGAAAATAACTGTAAAAAGCACGGTTTAGATCTCTGATGGTAACTTCAGCTTGGTTCCTAGGGAAAAAATGTGAAATTATAATTCATACATCTGATTGCTTATATCTCTTTAGGTTATCTTTGTCTGATATTAAGAATTAGTTGATCTAAAACAGGTTGAAAAAAAATAGAAGTAATCTGTAAGAAAGGAAATAAACTTTGAGAGCAAGCAAGTCCAAGTCCTTAGAGCTAGTTCGCTGTTGGTGGTTCTTAGACTGATCTATGCTGCATAATCTTTCTTAAAAGGCAGAATTTTGCCCAAAGTCTATCATTCATCTGTCTTTGATATCAGTTTAACCTTCTTCTGCCTTTTGTGCTGCAGTCTCTGCTGTCTCAGATCTGGTGGGGCGACTTGGAGAGGAGCACTGATGTCTGGAAGCTGATTCTTGCCTTCTTTGTACCTCCTTTAATCTACACCAACCTGATCGACTTCAGGTCAGTCATCTGTTATTGTTCTACAAAACTGCAACTTTATCTTACCTTTATCTTAGGGCAGGGGTGGTGTCGGCCCCGTGGGGCTGGTACGACAGCCTCTCTTCTGTCAGCGGTCCCCAGGGTAGCTGTGGCTCTGATGAAGCTCGCCACCATCAGTGTTTACGTGATTTAGTGGGTGAAAGATGGTGTGTAGCATAAAGCACTGTGATCATATCTCCTCATATCAGTACAGGCCATTAGTTTGTGCTTGGATTGACATGTGAACCTATTTTATGTTCTTTCTGACTGGTATGTTATGGTTAGAGGAGAGTTCAGGAGCAGTTAAATGAATCTGTGTTTAACAGAGTACATTTTAACAAAGCGTCAGAAGGCCACTAAAATAGGTGCATGAAGCAGCTGCTGTTTTTACATCCTACCTGCTGCTTCGAGCTTCTAACCCGCCCCCTGTTTGACCCGGTACACACCTCGAAGCCTGGCTTCAGATGTCCCACCACTAATCCTGACCTAATTCTGCCTCCTGACTCTCTGGGCCTGCCTGAACCCTATCGGATCTGACATTGTGAGTTTATTGGATATCTGACCTGTTCTCTGTGCCCTGGCCATGCTAGCGGATTCTCCCCTGAACTATCTTTGGATCTCTGATCTCCTGGTTGTGACTCTGGACCTAGTGTCGGACCTCGAAAACTCTGGTTTGCCCTTTTAATTGATCTGCCTGTCTCTGATCTCAGAGATCAGTTTATGGCCCTTAAGCTCTGAGATCAGCCTAGTCCTTGTAAGTCTGCGAAAGCTCAAACCGCCTGCCCTCATCGTCCCTTTTATCACATTCTTGTAGGATTTCTGGAACCGACCATCCTTTTCTCATTTGTATCAAAGTTTAGTGTATTTCTCCTTTCGTTCATATCAAGACTCAGAAGTATCACACCCACCAAGTCCTCCTGTTTCTGTTCCTGTTTCTGCTGGTGATCTGTCCCCTGGGTGTTTGAACCTGTTTAGTCCGGATGTATTCAGGTCGCAGTCTCCCCTGGACGCTTTGCTTTGAATCCCATGCTGGATCTTTCAACATGGCTGCGCCTGTCAATTCCACAAAATATGCCGCTTAGAACGCTACAACCCGCTTAGAACATCTACGACCGCCAGTATCTGCTGGAGCTTCGATCTCAAGATGGTGTTTCTGGACTCTCGAATACAGCCACTCTTGACCGTCTAAAAAGCTCTGTGTGCTTTGGATGGATGTAAACAATGAAGTGTGCCAAAGGTCCAGGCTGTGCCAGGGTGAGAGCCTGAGATGGGCGAGATGGCGAAAGAGAGGCTGTAGAGGCGGGGGCAACGGTGAAATCCCCACAGACCACCGGTTCATTGTATCCTGCTT